CCCCCCCCCGGGAGGATGGTAAACATTACAGTCGATTAACAATCACAACTGGTACAGCTCCGCAACGCCCTGTGACAATTTTCGCACCCGCCGGAACATTTCACACGCCTGCATTGCATCTCCGTTGCTCTCCACGACGCGCGCCTTCTCATACAGCTCAAACGCCATTCGATCATTTTCCTCCGTCAGAATCGGAGGGTCACGTCTGTAGAGAAAGTCACCGCGCAGAATATATTTGCAGCTTCCAACGCCCACAGGCGAGGCCTCGTGCAACACGTCGCAAAAGAAGAACACCGCAGAACCCTTTACCGGGCGTACGGCGCCGATGCGATTCTGGCACCTTCCTCTATACTTGCCGCTGTGCGGGTCGCACTCGAGCACCTCCGACTGCTCGCCACTGAAAATCACCGTCTCCCCGCCACTCTCGCAGTCGTTGAGGTATATGAGCAGCGTGTAGAAGGAGCGGGTGTTGAGGTCAACAATGGTGGAGCCGTCAACGTGGGGAGAAAAATGACCTCCAGCGCCGTACCGCCCAAGCAGCAGGTTGCTCGACAGCTCTAGCGGCACCCACGTCCCGTCGAGATCGCGTGTGTACAACTCCTCCGCGTTCGCCATGGACGGAGTGAAGGACTTGGGCTCCAGCTGCACTACCTTCTGAATACGTGCCGAAAGGGCCTGCGAGAGCTGCGGAAAACTCGCCTCGATTGTATCAACCACACGAAACGCACACGCCTCCTTGTCAGAGCAGCAATCCGCCTCACCACCCACCGCATTTGCGTCCTGCTGCCGCCAGAACGTGTACCCCACCTCTTCACACGCCTTGATGATGTGATCACACTCATCGCTCGACAAGAAGTTCTCTACAACTACTACATCGGTACACGCATCTACCCGCCTCTGGGACACAACACCAGTAGGCGTGCTGCTCATTGGTGTGCGATCAATCACGTCCTTGTTGAGGGGCTCACCCTTTTCGATGATATTGTTGTAACTATACATCGTTTGCTTCTCCAGCCCGGCACACCACTCGACGAAGGGGACAAATAACAGGTGGGCCGAAGCCAAGAGAAGGAAGAACAAAGAATAAAAATAAAAATAAAACAAAGAGGAAAAATGGGTAATGAAGAGGAATACAGGAAACAATCCATAGGATGAGATACAGAAAGGGCACGCATTCAAGCTCAACGGAGGAGCTGCTGCTTACACCGAAGGTTAAATCGTGCGCTTAGTCGTTGCGCTTAGTCGAGGAGGAGGGCGTGGAGTGCCAACTTGGGGTCAAACCACGAAGCCGCAGTTTCCGCATCGCGTGGGACGGCGCACATCGACATAGCGGCGGACTGCGCCAACGTCTTGAGTTTCTTGTTCTCCACAATGACGTTGCGAACGGTTGATGTAATTGGGGCAAAGGGGGGCACCGAGTACGACTGCAGCTCGCTGCGGCCGCCCAACTCCTGTAGATATTGGCGGCGCGCCTCGCTGAGGTCCTGCTCCGTCACAGGCACAGACTGCAGGTCTGCGGTGGACCCCTTTGTGTTGGCGAGCGTGTTGAAGCGCTCACTGGTGGTCTTGCGTTCCCGGGCGGTCGTCAGCGAGCTCCCCTTGCTGAAGCACGGCAAGACAAGGATGCTGCTGCCACGCATTCCCATCCGGCCAACACGGCCGATGCGATGCACATACGACTGGACCGTTGTGGGGGGCTCGAAGTGGTAGACGTAGTCCACGTCGCGCACGTCGAGGCCGAACGCGGCCATGTCCGTGCAGAGCAGAATGGCACCTTTGCCGTCGGGCTGCCGTCCATCGCGCTTCCACCCGCTAGTGTACACCTGATTCTTTTTCCCCGCCCCGGAGGGTGGCGCTGCGGCTTTCTTCTTCTTCTTGTCGTCGGAGTTCTGCACATCTGTGCGGTGGTTAAGGAACGCGTTGTACTGCTCCAGCCGCGCCCCCTCGCTCATCCCTTCGTACATGACAAAGATGTGCCTAATGTACAACAGCGGGCGCTCGCTCTCACGTAGGCGGGCAAAAAGCTTCTCCACAAATCGCAGTGTCGTGGAGCTGTTGAAGAAGATAAAGTTCTTCTTGGAAGCATGCCTGTTCATGAGCTGTATAAAGAGTGGTAAGAATTCGTGCGCCTCGCACACAGCATATCGATTCTGAAGTTGTGTGACAAATTCCTCGGTGCTGTTCATCACCACGGAGTGCATCTCCGACCCCAGTGTCGCGCCAATTGTCCCCGCGTACTGCTGCAGCTCCCGAGATGTAGAGACGGTCGCCCCAACGAATGCCACGTCCATCGCAACGCGGGAGGGCGACGCACCGGCGGTGGCCTTTCGTCGCTTCGCTGGCGGCGCCTCCGTTTTAGCGTAGGCCGCGACAAAATCTGTCACCGCGCCGCGCATCTCAGGCGAGTGGAACACGAGGTCCGCCTCGTCCACGACAAGCATAAAGCGCTCGTTGTAGCATCCTCGCAGCTGCACGGTGTGGCCAGCGTCGGTGCCAGCGCCGCCCGCGTCGCCGCCCCTCTTCGCGTAGTAGCGGCGCCGCGTCTCCTCGTCCTGTGCCGCCAGCAGCTCCTGCACATCGTCACCCGCGTCGCTGGCGGC